TTAGAATTATGTTGTTTATTTCCAGAGTTAATGCCCAAGAATTAAGTGGTAGATTGACGATACAATATCGTCGATCCCTTTGGTTAGAGCTGTTGATATACCTATGTAGTATTGATCTAATTCTTCTTTGCTGTTTACCGTTGTTTTAGGTTATGGGAGTAACTGGTCGAAGTGGTTATTGAATTGGTCTAATTCTTCTTTGCTGTTTCCCGTTGTTTTAGGTTGTGGGAGTAAATGGTCGAGGTGGTTATTGAATTGGTCTAATTTTCTTTGTTGTTTAGCGTTGTTTTAGGTTATGGGAGTAACTGGTCGAGGTGGTTATTGAATTTATTCCAGTTTACTTTATTAAAAATCTGGGAACTTAGGATTATAGTTTTGATTAGGGGATTTTAAAGTGCTATTGTTAATAATTTGAAAAGAAATGTGGTAGTTATCACCCCGAAGGGGACGTGAACTCAGAAGTTGTTCGTTAAATGAATTAGAGTGGGAGGGATAATGGCTAAGTCGATTATGCTTTGTATTCAGTTGTGGTGTGAGTGGATAGGGAATTGATCAGTAATTACTGCAAAGCTGTGAGTTTGTGTGAAGTTAGCGATAATTATACCGGCGGTGTTGGTTGTGTTACCGTGAAAAAATGGGTGAGAAGCACTTACGTTACCGAGTATTATTACATTTTGATAAGTCTTAACTATGGCTTCTAGGAAGACTGTATCGGGATTAGATCGGAGAGACATCCATATAGCAAGTAATGTTATAATTGGCAGAGATGGTGTTTTAATCTGACATAGTACATGTTCGTGATATGTAAGTACATTATAATCAATGAATGTTATGTTTAGGTTATTTTCCTACAATAAAGCTATACCTCTTTTATTTTGATCTCTAGGTTTAGAAAATGATTTATGTTAGGTAAGGTAAAGCTAGAATCACTACTTAATAGTGTTTCATTTATTGCTATTACTGATGGGTTAATCTTGTAGCTAAGTTATGAAGTTCGTATTTTTTATATTTTAGACTTCCTTGAATGTTTACACGTGCCAAGTTTGCGATGTCTGTTGATGCTGGGAGGGTTGAGTCTGGCGGCTTGCGATGGAGGCGCAAGAGGCCGGGGGTGTGGCTGGTTGTTCCTGTTGATGTGTGATTGCTTGTTGTTCATGTTTGCTGTTGTCAGGTTGCAGTCCTTATGCTAATGCTGGGAAAGGCTGACTAGAATGTGACAAAGGTGTGGGTGTAGGGCGTAGTGTCTTAGATCTGAGTCCTGGGACGAGTTGGAATTGGGGGCATCCTCTAGAGCATGCAATGTGCTGGTCTCTGCAGTTGCTGCAAGAGGTATATTGACTGTTCTTCTGGAAGACAGTGACTTGGCGCTCTCTGGTGCAGTGAGCGTGGTTGGATTTGGCCGTAAAAGCATCATGGGTATGGCCAAATTGCTGGCAGTTTAAACACTGGAGGACAGGCTGGTTGGAATTGTTTGTTTATTCTACTTTGAAGTGTTTGAACCATAGGGTGATTCCGTCTTGCAAGACTTGCACGGCTTGATTTGGATTCGTAAGGGTAACTCGTACTAGTAGGCTTAGTTCTCCATTGAATGTGGATTTGATTCTGTTAATGGATGCCACTTCTAACCGTCGAAGTCGAAGCTTCTGGTCGAGTTCTTTCTGCATTGTGTTAAGTGGTACTCCGTGGACAATGATAGCTTTTTTGGGCTGATTTCCCGTGGGGACATGGGAATTGATAGTGGCTTCACCGAAGGCATTCTTGGGCCAGGGTTTAAGGAGGCGACAGTAGTCCTTTGGTTGCGAGCAGTTAATTACGATTCCTCACTGGGGAAGTCGTCGTACGTTACTGATTTTAGTGTCTGAGAACAGTCTGCGTAGCTCTGTGGCAACTTGTAGTTGATGTATGATGGTCGGTATTCCTTCAACTAAAATGGCTGGTGGTTGTTTTATGTTGTTGTCGTGGTTGCATTGGCTGTTGTTGGTGGTGGCTGTGGCTGGCTAATGACCATTTGTTGTTTCTTGGGGTTGCTTGTCTGTGATGCAATCGGGAGAGTTCTTAGAATTTCCAGTAATCGTGAAAAGACTAGTGTTAGTTGAGTTTACGTGTCGTCAATGGAAGAGTCATCGTCAGAAAGTAGATTGTCTTGGGCTGTTGCGAAAAGATCCAGGAGTTCTTCTACAGTTAACGGCTTTCCTTGAAAGCATGTGGTTGGTCTGAGTTTTTCTTTTTAACCCAGCTCATTGTGAAAAATACAACTAGTTGTGCTTATAGCAATGTTATGAATAGATAGTCCTGAAAAGGACTGTTTAGTGAAATTTTCGGGGGTTAAAAACTGAAATAAAATGTACCAAAGACGAAAAACAAGATCAAATAGTGATTTGTAGTATGATAGTTGAGAGCAGTACAAAAACACGTCCTTGCTCAATGACTGACCACTAAGAAGTGCCAAACCAGTACCTTCTGATGGCAAGGCTCGTTAACAAGTATCTTGGTATTCCGTAGAAGCCATCCCATTAAATCTCAGGATGTCTAGGCTACTTGACATCACCATAATTTTTCTCTGCTTAAGTAACCATTACAGTTTGTATCAGGGGCATCGGGGATTGCCCAAATAGGCATCTTTCTACCTCACAATCCCGAGGCCAGATAAAGAATGCAGACATAACTCTCACCATTGCTGACAAAAGTTCTGGGCTTAAGATAGTGCTTCTTTTAGTCTTTGTCATACTTTCATATCCATTTCTGCCATAACCGTAAGTTTAATGTAATCTCAGAAAGTAACCTTTCATGGAACCATAATTTACAAACATTTTGATAGCAGAAATAGAAAAAGAAGCATATTCAAAACAAACTCCATAATAACAAATCCTTTGGCTATGACATCAAAATCTTTATTCACAGTAATATTTGTAACTGAACTTGATGACTAACAAATTTCTATATACTGACTTTAAAAGGCAGCTAGAATGAGGAGTCCTTCCTATACAAAGATACTGAAAGTAAAACAAAGGAGTGAGAGAGAGACTTGTTTGAATATTCCACTTTTATAGTCAGGCAAAAGCCTTAATAGTGTATCCCACAACTCTTCAGATTATTTACTTCAACCAATAGTTGGCTTGGGATAGTTTAGAATTGCACGAAAACTATTGTTTGAAATATGTTTTCTGTGTTACCTGTTTAAAAAAAAGCTGTCTTCCTAGACGTCTACACAGAAAAGTATAGATTTCAGTTTCAGTCTTAAAAACAAACCTTGTAATATGCAACATTTATCCGTGTAAAAGAATTAGCACATGTTTAGGACCTTTCGACATCCAGAAAATATGGACGTGATTAATTAACAGCATGCAAAAACTATATTTAACTTGGGAAAAATTGTCTGCGTGTATCCAATAAAAGATATGTTCCACACTAGTTATGGAAGGATGAAATTAATTAATAGCTGTACCAGCTATGACACCAATATGGACAAAGGTTTACACTGTAGACAAATCCTACATTATTGAAATGGCTGATTAATTTCTAAAATCCAGAAGGCTAGATACCAGGGTGACTCCAGAATGGAAGAATGGAAATGCTGATGCATTATCTGGAAGACCTTGTATTACCAAATAATGTAAGTACTGTAAAATTAAGGAAGCACAAGCATTACTGTCGGATACGCTGGTTCTTCAGAGACGTTTTAATATCTGCCGAGTGTCAACACCATAAGGGTACATTTCTACATTTTGTACAAAATCATCGCCTTATAATAACTTCAGATATTAAACAAACTTCACATTTCTGAATTTAGCTTGAAACTAGACTTCGTTCTAGATACTATGCCTCTTCTACTAAATGCAAAATGTACTTTCTGCGTTTTGTCCGATGTGACCCGATTAGCTGAGCTACTCTATTAACCGACCACAAATCCCCTGTCTTCGCACAATTACACTCGTAGTCTGTTAAAGCTAATTGTTTTACGTAATTTAAAGTAAGTTAGTTGTACTACATGTACAAGCTGAAGCAAAAATATTTCATTTCGTTGATTCCCATTTCCTTTATTATAATGTAATAAAGAAACAAAATAATTAGGGAATGGTTTAGAAAACTTTTAGAAATTGTATTTTTCATGTCACTCACCAAAGCAGATATTTTATTTTGTAAGATCCCGTTTCGTACTGTTTGAAACGAAAGTATAACAAGAGGCATGCAATGTAGAACAAAGTCTAATTTCAAGTAACATAGAGAAACAGCAACTTGTCTAACATCTACAGTTATGGTGTGGCAATTCCCTTTGTGTAAAACCTAAAAAATGTTCATGTCTGATAACACACAATGGTCAATTTAACCTTTCCCTGAAACAACGCCGTAGTCGTGTAAAACCTAAAAATGTTCATGTCTGATAACACACAATGGTCAATTTAACCTTTCCCTGAAACAACGCCGTAGTCGTGTAAAACCTAAAAATGTTCATCTCCTGTGATACACAAAGGTCAATTTAACTTTTCCTTAAAACAAAGCTGTAGTCGTAGGTGACGAGTGTAACTCTAAACGTTTGGGAACATATTACAGATTGATAAACTGAAGCAGTATAAGAGGAGTTAGAATTAAATGTTTCTCTGCTGTGTATTGATTTGATACAAAATTTGCATTTACTACTACGTCGAGGATTTGAAAGTTTGTTGTGCATTACAATTCGTGCCCTAATGTTTCTTGCTTGTTTTTTCTATAACAAATGAAATCCATTTCACAATTAACAAATGTAAGTGCTTGAGATATTCCCTCAACCCTACCCCCCCCCCCCCTACCAATGGCTCAGCGATAACATGACGTTAAAATTGTACGTTGGATCTCAGTACAGCTTTATACTACAAATAAACAAGTTTAGGAAGGTTTTATCTACAGATTTATTAAAACCTTAGACAACTACATAGGTGTCGTTAACGTCTATCTTACGACAACTATAAGAGAATTAATCAATCTTTAAGTTTGTTTATACTAATACAGCAGTACGTCCTCGAACGAAGAGATATGAACGACATGTTTAGAACATACTAAGTATTTCTTACCGTGATTTCCTGACCATTTGACAGTGCAATACCTACAAGATGTAATTATGTTACCAGCTGTAGAGTGGTATACCTTGAAACTGTAGCTCTATGGTGATCATGCTATAAAAATCAAATGCATTACAAAGATACGCAAAAGTCACAATTAATCTTTCTACTACCGGCCCTTGTTGTCATCATTAAAATTCATAACAGATAATGTCTGTGGCCATGGCAGCTAAACATGTTGGGAATATTCCATCTATCAGTCTAGATCCAGACCCCGGTGTCAAACTAGCCAGCAACTAAGAAAAATCAGTTAAGAGTTAGGAGTTGAGTGCTTAAACCCACAACGTCTCAACTCCTACTGTCATTCGCTGTCTGCAGCCAATTGTGGGAAAGCAGTTATCCTTAATACTTAGATACAACCTTAAAGTAGAAATAAACCACACTGAATATCTGCAATGTAAAACTCCAAACATCCACCCTTTTTATGAGATGTACAAAAAGACAAAAATATTCTCATAGCAGAAATAGACCACCCTATATTTTTAAAATACTTTCAACCTGCACCCTTTTATTTAATAATTACAAACTGATGTTAAACAGATCTAAAACCCTTACCTTACTAGGAGGAGGACGGGGAAATATGAACTATTAAGGTAAGTGTTATACTATATATATATAAGTTTTGTTACATAATGGAACTTAAATATATCTGATAATACACAAAAGGACAAATACATATTATATAAAAATGGATGTATTTGATCATTTATTTTTTAGCTTAATTGTTTGGCATTGTGGCTTTCTTTTGAATATGTTCATTTTTCTTAGTTTCCTGTTTTTTCTTTATCGTAGAAAGTTGTTGATGCTTATTGTCTCCAAAAGGGGTAGGTGTAACGCTTCGTGGTCGATCCAAAACCGAATTTGAGCGTGTTTTAGTGTCCAACAGTGAAGGTGATTTTCCTGAGTTCAACTTAGAGGACGAACATTTTTTCTTCGTTTTCTTTTTGCCTTTCTGTCTTGAAATAATGCTCTCTCGTTTTTCATTAGGTCTAGATGATTCAGCATGATCTTTGTCTTTTCTTTTTCCTCTTTGTTTTGCAGGTATGAAGAGATTCTCAGTTAGGGCCAGCAAATCTGGGATATCTGATGACCCTCGACTTTCTTCTTCTCGAGCTTCACGTTCGTAAAAACTATAAGAAAACTCTTGCAGGGTCTCATGTTCTTTTTCTTCCTCTGATTCATCAGCATTGTGTTTATTTCTGTTTCCAGAAGAACAAGATTTTACGTTCAGAAGAGACCTGCTAGGCTTTATTGACCGAAAACTTCCGGCTGTACCTACATTTCTTTTAGATATTACATTTCCATCCGCTAGCATTGTTTTTACACTAAGTTTGTCCAGTTCTATAAATCTGTAAGAAAATAAAATCAATAAATGTATGAATCTGCTCAAAGGAAAAAGATGATTATGTCACTCAATGCATCACTATCATACGTCTGAAAAATAAAATTTGACTAATCTTACCCACATTAACAAAAAAAGCAACAGCAATAGCTATTATGCTACTTGGTTTAACCAATTTTTCTCAAGCTTCATACTTCAAATTTCCTCTGCTCCTTAAACGTGAAAAGTATGTGTAGAAACTCTACTAAGATTGAAGGGATGTGTGTCACATTTAATATAATTATCAAATATAAAATTAAAATATATAGCACAAGCACCCATATCCATAAGTGAAAAAGAAATGTGCCACTTAAAATATCCAAATACAAAGAACAACAGAAATATTTCAGTTTAGTAGCTGTCTTTTCGAACAGAAATGTGTTACGAAATGTACACAGCCTCACAAACGTGGAATATAACTTTATACTTAAGTTTAGTACAACTCAACAAATCAGGTTAGGAATACTTAACTAAGTATTTTCATATTTATTGTAGTGACTTCACACACAAATAGTCTAGTAAGTGTAGGAAAAGTCTATATGGTCAAATGTATCTAATTTTACTATCTTTAGGGAACGTTTAATCAAGCTATTTGTGATCTTATAAAACACTCAAATTCTTAAAGTCTACCGAATTGAAAAATGTTATTAACTCCACTCAGTTCTATAAACATCACTGAAGTATCCCCGAAAAGTTTAAGGGTGTAACGCTGTTCTATCAAGCTATGATCTCCTGAACAAGTAAAACCTGGTTTGGAGGGTTTAGTGAACTAAACAACTACGTCTTCAATATTGTACCTCTCACGTTCTCTTCAATAGTTATTATGAATGAAACTTCATAATAATTTAGAGCACACGATCTCTAACGTTTTTTAACATTACGCTATACGCTCATTAAACAAGGCTTTGAGATTTCCAGCCGCATCACATACTAATAATATGCATACTGTGAACACAGATCATTCCTTCAGTTTCAACAACCTCAACAGCATGACAATTGAGTTTAACAACGTGTATAAGTTCCCCATGTGTGGATCACATGTTGTTGTTGATGTGCCATATACCAGCTTAAATTCTTAATTTCAGGTATGCTCTAACATTCTTCTAAAAATGCATTTCGTTGGGTTAAAGCCAGATACGCATGCTAGCCTGTTTATTTCCGTTAATTCATGAGAAGGTCTTCCACACTCTTTCATTAAGATAAAAGATTGATCAACTTCACCTTCAGTTGGTTTCATAATGACACGAACTTTGTTCTTATACCACGTATACTTGGAAGGTGAACTGGTTTTTATGAAATCCATTTCTCTGGGCAACATCACATGTTCCTTGGGATCCTCAGTTGCGAAGTGTAAGATCCACTTGGCAGTAAGATATTGTATTTTCAAGTATTTGTTTTGTTTAGGAGACAAATCATATACTTTGAGAGATCAAAGATTCAGAGTAATCTTTCTATCCTCATAAGCAGAACCTTATTGCTGTTTATACATCTTATCTTTAACATATATATAGATATCGCTAAGATTAACCAGTCCTACAATAAACACACGCACGTATATATTATACTGCTTCAAAAACTGAATACAAATATATTTCAAAATATATTCGGTCCACAGCTTATGCAAATTCAAAAGTTTAAAACAGAAACAAGTTGACGTATTTATCTAGCTATAGAGTTATTTAATACAAATATGTAACTAAAATTGTAAACATTCTAGAACCCGAAACACATTTCTGGAGTTGGTTTGGTTTGTTTTGAATTTCGTGCAAAGCTACTCCAAGGCTATCTGAGCAAGCCGTCTCTAATCTAGCAGTTATAGACTAGAGGAGAGGCAACTAGTCAACACCACCTATCGCCAACTCTTGGACCACCTTTTACCAACGAATAGTGGAATTGACCGTCACATTATAACGCCTCCATGGACTTTTTAATTACAAATATATATATATTAGTGCATTTACCGACATTTTGAAAGTGAAACAAACTTTACATCCCTCTAGCTTCACAAAAGTGTGTCGGAAATATGTGTTTTTGTTTCTACATGTTCTAAGAACAGAAACAGTTTAGTAGTAGTAGTTTTTAGTAGTTTCAAACATTTGGAACGAAATACGAACCTTGATTTAAGTTGTTACCAAATTTAAAGATATAAAAAGATTTACCAGCATCTATAAGTCTAGAACAAAAATATGACACATAACTTTAAAAAGTTTTAAAGAATGAAAATGAACATTACATCTAGTCTACAATACTACTATAGGTAGATAGGCAATTTGTTGGATGTCAGATTATCTGTATCCAGTCAAGAGACAAGAACAGAAGATACAAACACCGTTTACTAAGAAAATGATGTAGAGTTGATGGCAAGCAATGGTTGCAGATATTCTGTTAGTCTTTAGCTAGTAGAGCCCGAGTGTCATAGCAATTGTTAGATTGAAGCCAGAGGAACGGCATATTGATTGGGCATCATGATGGTCTTGACATGTACTTTTTCTGGTAATACTACAAGGATGTGAGGTGGTATTTCTAGTGGATATTTAAGAAGCATACTCGACTTCACTATCTATTAGGGCTTCCGTGAGAAGTTACAATTTTGGCCAAATATCATAAACTTTATTCTGAAAAAAATCTATGGCAAGCTAAATGTGAATCAAGAGCAATATCTTTAATTGGCAGTGTTGCTTTCAAAGTGAAGATAGTTGTCTTTGATTGGTATTTTTCGGTTAGATCTTGTGCAAAAGTAGATTACTAATTTGCCTCTACAACAGGTAAACTGCGTGCAAAGTTTGGCCTATGGGCCGAATTATTTACAGTAGGTGTCTGTGACTTGTTGCCGATAAATTTCAATAAGAAACAAACAGCACACAGTCCACTTATTTTGAAATAATATATTAAAACAAGTCTCTAGTATATACAAATGTTTGTTACACTGTTGTTTATCACAGTTGTATCCAGAGCTTTAAATAATTCTCTTTTTCGTCAAAGTCCACACAGACTGATTCAGTTACTTTAGAACACAACTGACAAAACAAATTATTCTTCTCTACCTTGTTATTGCAGTACAATCTGTGATAATTTGACTTTGGAAATCGCCAATATACGCCATTTATGACTAAACTCACAATCACACAATCTAGAAGTATCTAACTATATCTCTCACTTAACTAACTTTCTATCTCCCTAATTAACTAACTCATTTTTTTCTAAATCAAGCTACATTTTGGAGGTGTATTTATAACATCTGACAGAAGCCTAGAACTTACTGCACACTACGAGACATTATGATGCAATAATACTCGAGAAAAACTTAGAAGGTTCTATTAACATGACGCAATAATACAACAAGCACTTCTTCACAACAATTGAACTACACTACACATGATTCGTAAACAGTTACGTAAATAAACCTGCGATAAAATATCACTTCTTAAAATAACTAAATTTTACACTCACGCTATACTTAACTTGAAACAATTGAGTATATCTAACATTGCAGTTCTGGGACAAGAGTAACATGTTATTGCAAAGAAACGAGTGGTGTAGGTCTGATAACACAATCACTTTGCATTTTTTAGCACACAAGGGAAATTAAGCAGATGTGAAGGAATGGGATAATAAAACTTTCAGAGAATGGTTGGTAGTATCCATTAGTTATGAGGAAGAATGAGGAACAGCCAAGGTTCTTTGTGAACTTTAGGTGGGTGACCATAAAACATGTGCCACTGTCCCTACTTTTGCATCAGTAGTCGATTGCACATGTTAGTTCATTACATGACATAATTTTCTGCTACTGAAAAATAACTCGACAATGATTGTAGATCAAATACTTCTTTCAGAAGGAGTATATGGATTCTGCCTAATGACGTTTAGAACTTGCTACATTAAAGAGGTCAATGAAGCTGATGTTGACAAAAAGAGCTGTCTCATCTACAGGATGAGATTTTGGTTTTTGGATGCCCATTCCAGGTCACTGCTGAAAACTCTTAATGGTATTTACTAAAGATAGAAAATTTAAACTAAATATAGAAAAGTATGCATTCATGTCCTTAAAACTGGAGCTTCTGAGTTACACAATAGGTAAGGAATGAGTGTGTGATTACTGAACCTGTGAATTATAATAGTAGTGAAAAACTAGAAACCAAACATATCATACAAATCATGGTTCATGTCATACTACTGACAGTTTCGTAGACAATTTTTTCAATATAGACACACCAATGTTTGCATTGATTAAGATATATACCGTATGGACTTTGGGAGGACATATAAAAACGGACAGCAAGCATTTCAATCATTGACTCTTGCTTTGGTCAAATATTCCCTTCATACTGGATACAGGTGCCAGTTATGGCAAGATTGGAGAGGTATTGCTATAAACACAGGATATTGTGGACTTGTAGTCATGTGTTTGAATCATAAATTAACATTTTCTGAATGTCAATACTATTTGACAAAGAAGATATGTTCGTAGATGTGGTATTTGATAAATATTACCACAAATGATAGTAGCTGTACCTGATGACGCCTTTACTAGAGAAACCACGGTCATAATAAAATATGTATTTGTGAAACGTACCATTATCTTTGTTTTCTTCAATTATATATGGTAGGAAGTTTATTATTCCACTAGATCGCTGAAATAGCCAATGAGCTTATAAAATCCAGAAATTATAGTTGCACATTGTATAATAATGCTTCAAGTGTGTAATTTCATGTACAACATTATCCAGGTCAGCAGCTTGGAAATGGTGATATATTAGCTAATACATTTTGAGAGCATGTCCATTTATTGAAGTTGCAGATTCTAAATGGCACGCTGAGGTTTGAACAATGAAAAACATGTCTTGGAGCATCTAGAGAGATCCACACAGATCAAGAAGCTGAAGCATTTGAGGCATTTTATTAAAATTACAAATGCTTATGTAAACGAAAAATTGAATTTTTCTTGAATCTTTATGCACGACACATATAAATGTCAAGCGAAGAAAATATATGCACACTAGCAAACGTACAATGGAAGTTTCATAAAGACTATCATCCAAATAAGGAAATGGAAATGTTAAAGCAAATATATGAGTTGACTGAGATGCATTCCAAGCTGCAATATAAGAAGCAGAAAGCAACGGTTTGTCTTATTTACATTAAACAGATGCGATAGTAGTAAAGAGAAAGGCTACAAATGTTTATATTATTGACATTAAACTAGAGAAAGTGAGCCGTATAAAATATAACTGGCAAAAGGAAGCTACAACGTCCGACGAACTTCCGAAGAATAGCTGTTCTACAATCCATTGAGAATATTCATTGCACAAACTGTTTATCAGTATTCAATGCTATCCTCTCTAGTATAACAACGTACTGACGAATGTTGTATGATGTGTGCGAATAATGTTACGTTAAAAGAGACCCCATTGATAGAATTAGTACGATTCATTAACTCTGCCACCGAAGGTGACGAAGGTTATGTTTACGCTCCTGTGTGTGTTTGTCAACAAGATTTTTCGAAAATAGATTCATGGATTTGGTATACATTTGGATTATGACCCAACTTAGAAGTGATTAGTTTTTGGAGGGTCAAGGTCACAGTAAAGTTACGAAAATACAAAAAAAAATCTCTATCTGTTAAAATGAGGATCGATTTTACACACTATATTTGCTCTATAGCTCAGTCAAAAATGATTTGATTTTGGATGAAACTTAGTGGACATATGTAGAATATTATTCCTCATTGTCCTGCCTTAAATGGTCCGTATCCGTTAATAACAACGGATATACGAACACATTTTCATATTTTTAGGGCTGAATATGATCAACACTGCATGGAGAAGGTATGTGCTCTACTGAGTGCTCCTCTAGTTGAAGAAGCAATAACCTTGTTCAGAGATATTTTAGGAGATTTAATTAAATTGTCTAAACTTAACTCTGTCTGAGATGTATTCTGTGTATTACTTTAATTGATAATCTATTTACTGTAGTGTCTGATTAAATGAGTCTTGTTGAGGATTTAATCAACAAACAGTTGCTCACTCAGGTAGCCGTGATAGGCACAGCACAAATAACCACCCATTGTGTAGCTTTGTGTTTAGCTACAAACAAAAAGCCACCGCTGAAAGTTATTTCAACGCCCACAGAATAATTAACAAGAAACTTTATCGGATCCAAATTTTAGAGATTTATGACAACTTTCTTGACAGGAACTTTAAGGAATCTCTCCTGATTCAATCCAAACGCCCTTCCATTAACAGACGCAATGCCTGGCTCCTATACAACTATTATTATTCTATGGAAGATTTATTTATCTATTTTAACATTTAATTTTATGATCAGCGACTCAAATCCGTTCAACAATACGTTTCACCGTGCACCGTTTTATATATATATAGTTGTATACTATTTTCGGCTTTTATAATTTAAAATCTGTTTTGTAACATGTGAGATTCATAGACCCTTGGAAAAGGTGTAAGCCGAAACGTCGGGTAGAATAAAAAACATTTATCTCAAGTTGTTTGACGTCTTCACTGAAAATGGTTTCCATCCTTCGGTCAGCACTGAAAACTTTAAAAACTAGAGGGGCACTCAGAAGAGTGCATACCTCCGCCACGCAGCGTTGATCATATTCGGCCCCCAAAAAATACGAAGATGTGTGCGTATGTCTGTCTTTATCAACCATTTTTGACAGGACAATGAGGAACACTATTCCACATATTGTCATCAAAATCCGATCATTTCTGACAAAAATTGCGTGAAAAATCGATCCCCATGGTAACAGATAGTTTTTTTTTTGTATTTTCGTAATTTTGTTGTGACCTTGACCCTCCAAAAATTAATCACTCCTAAGTTGGGGCATAGTCCAAATCTATTCGGCCTTTTTTGAAAAATCTTGCTGACAAATACATAAACACACAAAAAAACACATACACAGGGGTGAAAACATATTATCCGTCACCTTAGGTGACGGAGGTAATAATATATATCTTTTTGTTATATGTCATCTTCAACATTGTTCTTTTCTATAATATTAACCTTGATTCTGGCATCAGTATTTTTCTCCTTAACTTATACTCTGTCAGTAAAACAAAAGTTGTCTTTAACCGTTCAAAGAACCTCAAGCAATTTCATTCTTATCAGTTTTATGAGATATGTATTTTTCTGACATTGAACATATATCTTTTTTAATTTTTCCTTCTACTCGTTGTTCACGTTCTTTCTCTGTCTTACGTATATACTTTGCAGACGTAGTTCAGAGGTTCCTTTCTATGATTTCCTTTAATTTTTTAAAATCATATCTCTATATCTCACCCTTCCTTTACTAACTTATGTATGTATCCCCTTTATGAGTTCTAATATCAGAAATCGTTGTAAGGCTTGTACAATAAAACCAACAGGGAAGCGCTACCATAGATGATTTCAATGAAGATTATGGAAATAAATTTCACAATTTAAACTTTCTGCTTGTTTTTATTTCATCATTGAAGAAGAAAGGTTTATATTGGCGTTCGGGCTAAAAGGACTTTCTGTGACAAGCCGAAAGCTGAAATTGTATCGAAATTTATCAAGTTCCGAAACTGTGAAAGTTTTTAGTGCGGCTAATTTTATGCAAATAATCGCAAAATTTGAAAGCATATTGCATAGACTTTATAACAACTCAAACGTAAAACTTTGAAATTAACCAATAAGTGAATAAACCAATTCAGATATTTTTTTCAAAATAAATAAATCTTGACAGCAAAGGTTTTGTGTGATGTTTGTTTCAGATATTTGTGCAAAGCCACACAAGGACTATCTGCTGTCCATAATTTTGAATTGAAAGAGTAGAGGGAAGACAGCTAGTCAACAGAATCCACTTCTCTTTATTGGACTACTCTAATCGAATAGTAAGGTTTGGTTGTTAATCATATAGGACATCCACGATCCCAAAGGACAGAGCGCGATTTACTTTCCATGGTAACCGGACGTAAGCCAAGGATCCTCAGTTCCACAGTCTGGAACGTTAACTAGCGCAACACCAAATGATCTGATCCGAGGGTTTTACGTTATAGAAATATCAGCTAAAAATCCAATGGTCAGGAGTCATTCTATTTTCAAAATAAAATTCCATGTGCATAAATAATGAAGAACTTTGGCCAAAAATAAACAACAGCAACATATATATTATATGGTTAAAACTCATTCCAACCATCTACAATGTATAAGAGCGGCGCTAGGCCAAGTCCTTAGCGTTCCCACATTGTGAATTAGAAGATTTAGGGTTTGTGACTTGTTGTCGCACAAGGAGTTTCTCACTTTAGAGCTGTGGGTGCTTATAACGGCTATGCACAGATAGTCCTTGCGTAAGTTTTCGAGAAATATATCAAAACAAATAGTATATAAAGAAAATATAATGGCAAATAAGAAAGGGCTCTGAAAACAAAATAGATTTCTTTTCTAGAACCTGTTTTGGATATTATTATTTTATTTGTATGTACAGCTTACATGTATGGCTTAAACATAATAGACCTGGACTTATTTTCTGATTATTAAAATCATTAACTCAGAAATATCAAAGAAAATATAAGTGACTTTACACATGTAAAAACTGAAAACTTTTGAGAAATGAAGGAATTAAGACTTAGGTTTTTGAAACTTACAAAAATATCCGGAGAACCTATAGAATAAAAGCCTCTGATTTCTTAGTGTTGTAGTATCTTATGAAGAGGGCAAGACAAGAGCACACAATTTCAATATTTGAAAAATATTATTCATTCTCCATTTGAAACAGTTTTATTTATTTTATTTTTCTACTAGAGTGATTATCTTATGGAATAAGTTGCCATAAGCAGGTAATGGAGGCTGGCACCTTGCAAAAATTTACGAAAGAAATCTATAATATCATGAAAAAATAAATGGTAGTTTTAGTTTTTTTTCTTGAGATGGCCATCCATCGAAGAACAGCAGAAGCCATATTATTATTATTCACCTAGTAACAGTAAAATGTCATATAATCAGTCAACAAATAACTACTCAAGTTATATCATAACTAAGAAGCAATAACAATGCCACTCATGTACTTATATGCCATGTCAAAGTTACCTATATGATTATAGCAAAAACCATATCAATATCACTCATACGTAAATGGTAAAAATTCAAAATATGCAATAATAAAAAATAAAAGCTATCAGTTGGTTTCTCACCTACTAAAGGCATCCTCGTCAATTTTTGATTGGGGCCGAGATAAGGTCAACATCTTCCAATCAATATCCACTTGACTTAAATCTCTGATCTTAATGTTTTGCATGGTCAATGGAATGGGGTCAATAAAATGGTAATGTTCTAATGCCGCAATAGGAGAGGACCTTATTTGATGTAGACCAAGAATGTCCTTCTCGGACAGTTGCTCCTGTCGAAGTCGGAGTTCAGGAAGCTTCCATAAAGCAGAGTTTAAATCTTCTTTTGTACGAATCTTCAGTTTACTGAAATCCAAGAAATTCAGCGACACTTGCTGGGGTAAGTCTTCTTCGTCGAGTCGTAACAAGGCCATTTGTCTTTAAGTCAACAGATAAATCGAATAAACTTAAAGTGTGATGCATTTTTTTCGTAATGTCATATTAAAGATTTTTTGAGGAGACATAAAAGGAAGACACTACGTTATTTTAAAGTATCGTGTAGTTTCCAACTTTATAAGATCTATATTTCATACACGAGAAATGTACAATACGACATTCAATCTCTGAACCGTTATAGCAATATTAACGAAAGAAATGAGCTAATAAATGTAAAGCAGTAATGTTTAATTAGTAAATCGTAAATCATTCAGAATTGTTTCAAAGGAAGAACTGAAAGGTGAGTGACATTGACTATACATATTACACGGCAATAAAATAACTACGACAAATTTCTTTAGATAAATAAAAGGCACATGTATGTTTTTGTGTCTGATTTTCAACCATATAAAATACTTCCTAAAGCATATCTATCTAAGGCATATTTTCTGTGATATGTAATCTAGCGTACTGTATTTATTTTGGCACCAATAACTATGGTTACCTCATGTATCTGAAAAAGTGACATTATCCCAGTTTTCAAACATATCTTTTTTGTCCCGTACGAAACAGTAAAACGTGTATTTCAACGTGGATTCAAAATTTGCTGTTTGCCATTGTACATATCACCTTTAAATTTTGCTTTGGAGTAGCTCCTGACAGTGGAAATCATATGCCATATGTACCTGTCAACTTTGCCTTAAGAATAATCCAATCATAATAATTCTGCAAAAATGAAAGATATATGGTTTGTTAGTCTGAGAGTAGGGGAATACTCGTTAACTGGTCATAAGTTTTAGCAAGCATAACTGGGGACTTGTGAAGTATGCAGACGAACAATATTCTCTTTTCTTTTTCTTTTTTTGAGGAAGAGAGAGAGAACACAAACGTTAACAATGTGAGTCTATAATACTTATTTCATGTTAAATGGGTGCCTTGTCATATATCTCTCCATAATTCTGATTTGTCTGTTCAACATCGTTCTAATATTGTGAATACAATCCTGCGTATGTCCTTCACCTTCGACTGACATGAAAAACATTTCTCTTGTAATTTAGTAGATTGATTATATTCATTCATCAACATTTCTTTCTTTCTCTAAATACATGTATTTTCTATCTTCAAATATATTCTATGCTTTCACATTTAACAAATTTGTTGTACTAACTGACCTCAGACATCCTTTCTGTTATCGCAGTTAATACGTTTAATATCTTTTGATTACGTATTTCTTGAAGTTACGTATATCCTATGTTCCCATATTTAACATATATTTTCTGGATTCAAACTTAACAACTTAAACTTTTTCGTCTATTTACTTTTAAATTACCGTCTTGTTTTTATATCGTTCACTACCATTACGTTTCCAAGTTTCGGTCCAGACTCTTATTTGCTTGTGAATTGGCTCGAGAAAATTTTAAGGCGTCCCAAACTAGAATGAGAAACGTTTATGACCCCAAGGCTGAACAACGTACATTCCACTAAAGGACATTCACTCAAGGTTATTTGTATTGGCTGTGTTCTATATTGTAATGGTTATTGATGTTTTGTAATCCTTTGGATAATGTATTATAATTAATGTATTGTTTTCCATGTTTATATATATAATATCTTAGTTAAAATTGTCTAATGCCAATTTTTAATTCTCTAAGGAGGGAGTTGTGACGGATTTATTATTATATATTTATTTTAATATCAAGGTTTGTTTAAATTACTTTTCTTTTGTATCTCTGTGGTACAATTCTCTTAATTTTTTTGTCATTATGGAACCTATGTTTCTTCTACTTAAATTAATTTAAAAAATTTAATTTCCCTACTGATGATGTTAGTTCCAGTCTTTATGATTTTGAGAAGACAATGTGCGATAAGAAAAACGGCATGGACAGGAATTACAAGTACCAACTTAATCTGTTATTACAACGTCGATTAATGGAAATGCTGGACGATTATGCACTGTGGTTGCAAACTCGACGCCATTCTTACCTTAAGTTTTTTTTTCAAGAAGTTGTGCAGGTATTTAAATCACAATACTTTCTTTTAGTTTGTAAGAAAAAATTCAAACATTTTCCAATTCCAAATACGGAAATTTGTAACATCGATATTACTTTTTCTTTAAACCACACTTCTTCTTGTCGTTATTTCCTTAGCTCAAAGCTACACAATAGGCTATTTACACTCTTCCTACCGCAGGGAATCAAACCCCGAATTTTTAGCTTTGTAAGTCCGTAAACTTATCGCTAACCCACTGGAAGACGACCACACTTCTATCAAAGCAAATAATTCGCTGTCCATCCAAACTATCTTTATTTTCTGAAATGGAAGTGCGAATGAAACATGACGTCAGATTACTCTGGACACGGGCTATTACAGTGTGTGCTAAAACATTCACGTTTCGTCTCGTTTCAAACCGGAAACAAGTATGCTAGTGTAAAAGCAGCAAAAGTTTTCACCCGATTCCCTTGGTCCACGTCAACCTACTATAACTATTCCACATACAAAACAGAAACGTACAATTATATGGATTAACTCTTTCTTTGTATAACTGGTCTACAGACCGCTAAACGAACATAAAAAAGTACATGAAACTTGAAAAATTTCATCTTGAAATAAGACATATTCACAAACTAATCATAAAAGGGTTAAATATAATTAAATTAGTTTTCTACTTTACTTTTGTATTTTTTTTTCTAACTGTAACATTTCAATCGATACATTCAAACATTTAGCAACTGACTGGCTATGTGACAAATAAAAGATAAAGAAGATATTCGTCTAACTTTTAGATTGGTACTTTGAAATATGAGTAATCTACAAATTCTCTCGAAAGTTTTAGACAAAAAATGAAAGCTCTACTGTTCAGTAAGAATGTACCATTAAAATGAATGTGCTATGCATACATATTAGTTCTGTATTTTAAAAACCTCTGCCTGTCGGGATTGAAAATATGTACGTAAAATACCTTTTACTTTCCTGCTTCCGTACCACTATATGACCTAATCTTTGTAATAACATGTTAGTAACCATAATGAGTTTTTTATTATTATCAATTTTTGATTCTTAACAAATCATTAAAGTGTATAAACTATATAATTCTCTAATTCCTATAACATAAATCACAGTTCGAGGTTACTTACAACTAAGAATCTTAGTGCTTATTGAGAATTGGAACATAACATTAAACACTACTGAACAGTTCGAGACTGCATACAACTAAATAGTTTCGTGCTTATTAAGAAGTGGACTGTAACGTTAAACACTTCTAAACAGCTTGAAGCTGCTTACATCTAATTAAAAAAGTTTCACACCAAAAATTATTGAATAGCTCTAGGCTGTTTATAATTTACTAACTAGCTCCGTGCTTACAGAGAATTGGAACGTAACATAAATTACAGCTTAAACATTTGTGGTTTCATACAGCTAAAAAGGTTCGTACTTACTCGGAATTGGTTTGTAACATTAAATATCACTGAACAGTTCGACGCAACTTACAATTAACTAAGCAGTTTCGCGCTTACTGAAAATGAGCGAGACATAAAGAACAACTGAACAAATCGAGGCTGCTGATAGTCAAGCAGGCGGTAGCACTATCTATGTAGGGATGGCTTGGATTGTTCATTGAAATGACATTTTAAATATCTCCTTAATAGGTCATCGGAACTTTACAATACTAAACAGTGTTTCCTTTTATAATAGTATCTATGTAATGACTGAGTCACAAGTTTTGCAAATGTCTGTAAATATCATAGCAAAAAGTTTAAATTTTTTATTCTTTTTTATACTTCTTTTTATTACATGATAACTCAAAAGCTTCATGTTTACTGAGAATTGGAATGTAACATTTAGAGACCATTGTACAGATCATGATTGCTTACTACTAACTACTTTCGTCTGAGATTTGGAACACAACATTAAACACCACTAAGCAGTTCGAAGCAGCTTACAAGTAAGTAGCTTCTTGGTTACTGAGAAGTGGAGCTGATCATTAAACACCACTGAACAGTTTCCAGTTTGTCGGTAGTAACTTAATATAATTCCTACATAATCTTATTGAAAAACTCTTGTGGGTCAGCCCTAACTTTAGAGAATTATGATATATTTTTACTAGTATTCACTTGTGAGTTAGTAGCAACTTTCAGACTTACTATATATTCCTACTAGAAGCTCCGGTAGGTCAGCAATAACTTTACAGAATTATTACATATTCCTACAAGAACTCACCAGTGGGCCGGTGGTTATTACATAGAATTTAGATACTTTTACTGAGAATCCTCACTGGGTTAGCGGTAAATTTACAAACTGTCAATATGTTTTACTGGAAATCTCCGGTTGGTCGGTGGTAACTTTACAGACATACAATATATTCTTCCTGGAAATCCCTGGTGGGTTGGTTGTAGCATCATGGACTTATGGTATATTCCGTGGGCCAACAGTACTTTACATAATTACTATAATTTCTGACTGGAATTTTCTGATTGGATATAATTAGCTTTAGAGAATTACTATATATTCTTACTGGAAGTTCCCAGTGAGCTAGAATTAATTTTCTAAGCTTCCTAATTATGCTCACCGGAAATCTGTGATCGGTCAACGGTAAGATTATAGAATATGATATAATCTTCCTGGAAGTACCAGGTGGATCAGTGTTAACTTCAGAGAATTAATATATATATATTTACTGGAAATCTCATCTGCGCCAGTATTAACTATATAATCTTGCTGGAAGCTGACGGTGGGACAGCAGTAAATTTACGGAATTATACATATTTATGAGAAGTTCACAATGTGTCAGCGATAATTACTATTTATTTTTATTGGAAAACCCCGATGGGTGAGTGGTACCTTTGCACGCTTATGATATGGTCTTACTTAGAACACACAATCAGTCAGTGTTAAATTTATAGAATTATTATATATTCTAAAAGAAGACCTCGTTGGGTTAGTGGAAACTTATGACATATTCTTACTAGAAGTTTCCGGTGAACCAGAGTTATATTTACATAATT